GCTTTGTTTAGAAGTTAGCTAACACATTTGAAGCAAAAGCTTCTTTAAGTTACTTAGATCTCAATGCAATCTTAAAACCATTTCTTAATTCTCAATGTAACCCTAAAAATAAGAATAATCCTGATTAAGCTGCCTGAAATTGAATTGATTGAACTGGACATTTGTTTCAATAGGTACCAACCTACCAACATACATACATAAGCAAGCAAACAAACAAACATTATTAATTAGAACTTCTCAGCCCAGTGATTCTGACAACTGAAACTACGGAAGCAACAATTACAACAAATTTAATTTTCAACTAACAGGAGAATGAGGATGACGAAAATGATCCATGCTGTGTACCCAGAAATTAACAACTGGTATTTGTGTCTGTGCCATGTATCTCCTAGGCAACAGAATTAAATACATTTAATAGATCCTATTTCATTTGGCTGCTTTCATAAAAATCTTAAGTCATGATAAGCACTTAATAAAATTTACTGAATGAGTAAATCAATCAATGAATACTTTTCTTATAGCTTGGGGAAATGGAGGAAAGCAAGTCATATCAGGATGATCCTGGCTATAAATAACAGCCTCTAACAATCACATAAACAACCCAGGTCCGCGTGTTATGTACAATGAAGCCCGATTCCATGCTGGTGTGTCATCCAGAATCCAGGCTCTCACATTTCACCCTGTATTCTTCTTGACACCTACCAGCTCCTTTCCTGCAGGACCCAAGGGGACTGCTGCAGCTCAAGCATCACGTGCTCTCTCTGTCAGAAAGGAGGCAGAGCCCATCCCTCAATCAACCTTTTTCCATTTAACAAGGAGGTAAGGTTTTCCCTGAGCCTTCGGCTATACGCTCACTATGCTCAACGGGAATCAAGTTCTCCTACTGACACAGGAGGCTTGAGAAAGCCAGTAGTCAGTACTTCCATTCGTCATGGGATGAGGGTGTCACAGAGGGTCAAGAATAAAATGAGCAAAACATCCTCTCTGTGTCTTTAAAGAAAGAGTCTCAAATGGAGCTTAAAACACACTTACGGTACAAATTTGTTCCAAGAAAACCAGGCAGTTGGTTAAGTAGCAAAGCTGATCTCCTTGGCTGCATCCAAGGAATTGGCAGGAGTGGAGTGTTGCCGAGTTTGAGGAGAGTCCCCTCTAATTAAAACACATTTGAATTCTTCTAACTTCTGGGGTAGGAGAGCAGCATTAGGTATTATTGGATTAACTAAGGGGGTGGGGATCCCACTAAACTGGTTGAGTCAAAGACATTCATGGCTTAGAACTGGTTCTAGTTTTAGTGGATTTCCATTTCCAGGTGAAGAGAGGGAAACGAGATGAGATGGTTCCTTTTCACAGAAGGTTTAAAATCTGCTATTATAATGATAAATATCGTAAAGAAAGTAGCACGCACCTTTGTGCTTCATATGTAATAGTCAGAAAATACAATATTAAGATGTTATTCTTCTACCCATGGCCCCATATCCTTGTTTTAGTGTTAGCGTGATAATTACATAGAATGCTCACAGTAAATCCTTTGGTCAAAATTTCCCCATTCCTATTACTTAGTTGGTTCATCTTCTAATAGATTTCTTCATGAAAGTCCCAGAGTTTTTGTATTTTTAAAGCTGTTTTTCAATATTTTTCATACATGAAGGACAGATTGATTGACTGGATACATTTTTAATTCGTGCACTGTGAATGTGGAAAATGCTGTTCCACGGTGACTTTTCTTTAGATATTGCTTTTGAGGAGATTGATTCTAATCTAATTCTTGCCTTTGTAAATCATTTCATTTTTCACCTGGGGGATCTGAGCTTTTCTTCTTTATAGTTAAAGACTACTAAATTTTATTGGATTACTTCTTGGGGCTTAACCTTTGCTTAATCTCCCTGCTATATGGGTGGAGGGGTACTTTTATATATGTGGAATCAGGTCATCCTATATCATGTCATACTCAACTTCACCACCTAAAGTGTACAGTTAAATACATGTTAGCATATACAGTTATACATATGCATGCAAATTTTACCATAGCCAAATCCAGAACATTATTATCACTACACAACAAAAGAGAACGAGACAGCTATTACATTCCTACTACCCTATCTCCTGCTTCAGCTCTAAGCAAACGCCAATCTATTATTTGCCTCTATAGATTTACCTATTCTGGACATTTTATAAAGTGGAATGATATTGCTTGTGATATTTTGTGGCTGGCTTCTTTGACTGAGCATAATGTTTTCAAGGGTCATACATGCTAGAGTATGTATGAGTGCTTCATTCTTTTATTTGGCCATATAATATCTCATATTGATAAAAAAGAGGATTTCAAAATGCTCATGGAAAATTTTATCACCTTTCAATTCCATTTTCCACAATCTTTTTGATGCCCCTTTATATATTTATCTACTCATCAGTTCCTACTTTTAGCTGTTATGAATAATCGAGCTAAAACTACACATACAAGTTTTTATGTAAACATATTATGAAAAATGGTACATAGGTAATCCTATCTGACCTGTTCTGGCTTCCCTTTTGCCATGAGTCAGAGGTCCAACATGCCTCTACCCTCTATCTTTCTTTACCAATTCTGACACCAACCACACCTCCACAGCACTCAACTTCTCTGTGGGTTCGATCATGTTTTGCAATGGCCACAAAGAACATGTAGACAATACTCATGATTAAGGGAGGTGTTTCTTAGGAGAGTTAACAAGTTACCAGAAACCAGGATTAGAAAACAGTAAGGTTATAGTCATTGGTCCATAGCAACACCTCTACTCTGCCAGTAGTCAAGTTTCTCTCTAGTCTGCAGCCTCGGAGCTGTGCACATGGCCCCTTGGTCTCTACCACCGTGGACCAGAAGCTGGAATCGACTTGATGGCAGTGTGTGTGACTACACCCAAAAGCATCTTTTCAAGTGCACAGAAATAAAATTGATCTTTTCATACCAGCTTTGTATTTTTAGCCTGCAATCTCAGGTTTTTAGTTGGTTCCTTAGGATTTTCTGTATTCAAGATCATATAATCTATAAAAAGTTTTACTTCTCACTTTCCAATATGGATACCTTTTGGTTCTTTTACTTGCCTAAATGCCTCGAATAGAATTTCTACAATACTGAATAGAAATAGTTAAAGCATTTATCTCTGTCCTATTCCTGCTCTTAGGCAGGAACCGTCCAACCTTTCATCAGTGAGCATGATGTTTGTTATGGGTTTTCATAGATGCTCTTTATCAGGTTAAGGAAGTTCCCTTCTATTCCTGGTTGCTGAATTTTTATCATAATACAATATTGGATTCTATCAAATATTTTTACTGTGTCTACCGAAACAATCAGCTGTTGCTTATTATTCTACTTATATAGTGTAACACATTGAGTTCCAAATGTGGGTCAGTCATGCATTCTTTGGATATATATAATTTGGTAAAGTTGTATAATTCTCATTTAAATGTTGCTTGAATTGACTGCCGATTCTTATTTTTATAGAGATTTTGTTTTCATATTCATAAGAACTATCTGTCTATAGTTTCTTTGCAGGTGACGTTACTGTTCAGTTTTGGTATCAGTACTACAGACCTCAATGGACGACTGTTCCCGCATACCAGGGAACTTCAAAAGACTGGTGGGAAAATTCCATTGTCTCTTATATATCCTCATCTCTTAAGGAGCATTCTAACTGTATTTCTTCCAAGACAAATGTATTTGTTCCTTAGCAGTCCATCCACTACTCAGTATTTTTCACCAACACCAGCATGCAAATGCGCCGTTTCTTCTGCAGTCTTCCTTATTCATTGTGTAGCTTTTGGATGAATATGAGGCTATTGAAAATATCCTGGCTTGGTTCAGGCACACCTTGGCCCTCAGAGTGACATCTTTGCTAATTAAGACATTAACGAGATCTTGTGCAGCAGATTTTCCCAATGTACTATATCATTCGATTTTTCACATGAACGTTAATCATAAAGTCAGAACTTTTCTGTTTATCATTTTGTTGCTTACTGGTCCAGTTTTGAGGATGCTCTCTTTATATTGAGTATAATCTTACTAAAGGCTGTAGACTTTGATCTTCATTCAAGTGCTTCAATCCTCTTTGCTTTCAGCAAGCAAGACTGTGTTATGTGCATATGGGCAAGTTGTTAACTAGCCTTTCTCAGATCCACACAGAATTCATCTTCCGAAGGCCAGGCTTCTTAGATTATTGCTCAGCATATAGGTGGAATAAATATGGTACCCTTGACAAATACCTTTCCTTGTTCTATTCAAAGAACTGTCTCTTGTTCTATGTACAGGTTCTTTTCCAAAAGTACAACTAAATCTTCTGAAATTCCCTATTCTTCTTACTATTACCCATTCTTTGGGTAATATGATCCACACACTCAGCTCTCTTTGCATAGTCAGTGAAACACATCGTGCACAGACAAGAAGACATCTTTCTACCACTCATCTATCAGTAGGTGGTGGCTTGTCCCTTGCTGTGATGCTGGAGTCATTTCTAGAAACTATAATAATGTGGCACATAGGCACAATAAAATGACTTCCAAAAAGCTATACAATAGGGAAGTTAAGATAATGCCTGCACCAAGCATAATCTTGAAAGCAATAAATGTTCAATAAGCATTTACTAAATCAATTTCATTGAATCAGTTCATTTCAACCACTTAACCAGCACAGACCTAAATTGTGTTTTGCCTAAATGATATCGAAGAAAAAGTTACTGAGCTATTGTTCTTTGAAAGGTTGGCCCCTCAGAAAGAATATCTACCTCTTTAAGTGTTTATTTACTCTTTCAATGTAAGATGTTTTCAAAAATAAATAATGTAAAATGTTCTGTTGTGATCTAATAAAGAAGAAAGAGGTGATTATTTTTTTTAAACAGTAAGAAAAAAAATGCAAAAGGCATTAACTCTTATTCTTAAGAGGACCTCAACATAGAGTTTTAGAGTGGGCACATTATATGTAATATTGAAATAAATGAATCACTTAAAATAAACTGTGCATAACCTACCAAATCCAGGAACACGTTTGAGGCTGGCTTTAAGGCAAACTTTCTCCAGTCTGAGGTAGCTGTATCTCATCAGACAATTCCACAGAAACATCCAATCCATCCTTGTCCGATGGTTCATGATAATGACACTTCTTTCTCCAGGAATAAATGCATCTCCTGTTATAATCACTTTTACCCCAAAGATAGTCTCCAGCAATGCCTAGAGGGAAAAGTGTATAGATATATATACATATTTAGCCATCTTACATTATGGTTGACCATAGGTAAATTTCATTATGTCTCAAAAAAAAATCTTCTGATTCTAATGGAAAGCAATCAAAATCATAGTACTTTCCTTGCTTTTTACTTCTATAATAAAGCAGGCAGGGCAAACTCATCTAGAAGAATGAATTTCAGAAAGCACTGTTTCTATTTTATTTCTTCTGCTAATTTAAATTTCTGGCAGTTTTCTACTGAATAAAGCTAACTTTACTTGAAATCTTAAGGTATACACAGGGGCTTCATAAAGTTTAAGGAAAAACTCCATTATATTTTGATTCAATTTTTAGCTAGAACTTTTTGAAGCTCCTGCATATTGAGTTAAAAGAAACTAGTGCAAAATGTGTACAGCAATATGCCATTGCATTAAGTTTTGAAGAGCATCGATCTGTATGTTATCGTTACTTGTGTAGTATTATTAACAATAGCTGCTATTGTTTGTTTTGTTTTTTCTTAAAATGATGGTCTATAGCATCGTGGGTGATGTACAGAAGTACAATGTTGAGACACCAAAGCACAACAGAAGAAGGAAATACACAATCAATAATCATTTATTTGTAATACTTTCTAAAACCACAACTAGAATGTTTTAGGGGTAAATATGAGGGTATTTCAGGAACACTGGTGACATAAAGAGCACTAGAAATTGATCTAGTAACCACAAGGTCGGTGGTTTGAACCCACTAGATACCTCAAGGGAGAAAGAAGAGGCTCTGCTCAGAAAACTAAAACGGAAGTTCTTTGCACAGACAAGATCGCATGCAGCAAATTGTACTACAGGGTCGCTATGAGTTGTAATCAATTCGATGATAATAAGTTTTTGTTGTAAGGGGGTTTCAAAAAGTTCATGGGAGAATCCCTTGAGCTTGCATTTATTTATGTATGTATGTATGTATGTATGTATGTATGTATGTATGTATGTATTTAAAATCATTTTATTGGGGCTCATACAACTCTTATCACAATCCACACATACATCCATTGTGTCAAGTACATTTGTACATTTTTTGTCATCATCATTCTCAAAACGTTTGCTTTCTACTTGAACCCTTGGTATCAGCTCCTCATTTTTTCCCCTCCTTCTCCCCATGAGCTTTGATTTTCATTTTTCCACAAACTTTTGGGAAGCTGTCTCATACAGTAAACCTGTTACTATTGATTCTGACTCACAGGGACCCTATGTATAACAGAACAAAATACTGCCCAGACCTGCACCATCCTTACACTTGTTCTTAAGTCTGAGCCCATTGTTACAGCCACTATGTCAATCCATCTAGTCAAGGGCCTTCCTCTCTTTCCCTGCCCCTCCACTTTACCAAGCATGATGTCCTTCTCCAGGGACTGGTCTCTCCTGACAACATGTCCAAAGTACGTGAGCTGAGTCTCTCCATCTTTGACTCTATATGGCTCTATGGTGTCTCCAGTGCTCATCAGCCTGTTGAAATATTTCAATTGGCATTCCATCCATTCCTGAAGAATGCTTTCAGTGCAGCCTGACTTCTTCCTCCAGCATCAACGGTTCTTGTTCATATGCTACACCTAAAATGTTGGGAGTTGACTAGTTCTTTTTGGTATAGTGACTGCGTATTCTTCCCATCTTACTTTTGATGTGGCCTGCATTACTGAATATTTTGACGATATAATCTTTCCATATTGCCACTCGTGGCTTCAATTTTCCCTTGAGTTCTTTCAGTTTGAGATATGTTAAGCATGTATTTCTTTGGTTTTCTAATTCTAGAGCTTTGAACATTTCATTATAATATTTGACTTTGTCTTTGGGATGTGCCCTTGGAAATTTTCTGTTCATCTTTTTGCCTTTGTCATTTCTTCCATTTGCCTTCGCTGCTCTATGATTAATAGCAAGTTTCAGAGCCCCTTCTGACATCCACTTTGATCTTTTCTTTCTTATCTGGTTAAGGACCTTGTGTTTTCTTCATGGATGGTGATGCTGATGGAACCCTAAAGCTCATCGCTCACCAGGTCTCCTGTTGATGATGTTCAATGCCTCAAATCTGTTCTGAAGGTGTTCCCAAAATTCAGGTGGGATATACCCATGGTTTTATTTTGGCTCTCGTGGACTTTTTTTACATTTTCTTCAGCACTTCAACTGGAACGTGCATAGGAACAATTGATGGTCTATTCCACACTTAGCCCCCCATCTCACCCTACAACCCCTGGCCTGGTATTAGCTGCTGATAGTTAGTTTCTCCATGTCTCTTCCCACAAATGTAGTCAATTTAATGTCTCTGTATTCCATCTGGAGAAGTCCCTGTATAAAGCCACCATTTGTGTTGTTGGGGGAAAAAAGGTATAGGGTTGTGGAAAAAACAAACTAATATTAATATAAGCTAAAGAAATAGACTAGAAAAGTAAAATGAAGGGAGAAATGTTGTATGTCTTAAGTACTACAGATTGAAAAATGTTAACATGCTTTGAGATGAAATTAGAATCTTTTGGGCTAGAGTTGCTACAGATATATCATAATCTCCATAAAGTTCACTTTGAGGCAGGCGTCCTCAAACTGCGGCCCGCCAAGGACATTTATCCGGCCCGCTTAGTCTTTTTTCCCTGTTTGGTTTTTTACTTCAAAATAAGATATGTGCAGTGGGCATAGGAATTTGTTCATAGTTTTTTTTTTAACTCTAGTCCAGCCCACCAACGGGTCTGAGGGACAGTGAACTGGCCCGTTGAAAGAGTTTGAGGACCCCTGCGTTAAGGCATGGGTATTTAAATCTGGTGTCATAAATGCCTTGGGAGGACAACTTCCAAGAAGTCTATAAACATGTACGCATGCTCTTGAAATGATATGCAAATATATGTGAATGTGTTACCACATACATTACTAGGCAAAATGCCTATCATTCTCATCAAATTTTAAGAGGATCTATAACTGCTCAAATAATTACATAATCCTGACACCAAAAGGTCTCTGGGATATTTCAGACTCTGTGATTGGGAAAAAAAAAAAATCATAGCAGAGTTCTCTGGGCTTGGACCCAAATCACTAAATATCTTTTCTCACAGACTATTACCCTCAGACACCCTCAGACACCCTCAGGGCTGGATCTGAACCCATGCCTGGGGATCTGTCAGGCAACAGACAGCAGGCCTATAAAATTCATCATAGTAACCCTTGTGGTGAATGTTCTCAGAATAGTCAACCATCCAAGACTAAAAGGACAGTGTTTACCCCACAGCAAAGCTCACAAGGCGGGGACCTTCCTTCCAGGAAGGACTACTATAAATGGAGAGATAAAGCAAGAGTAAGAATGGTGCTGTTACATTGAGGTGATGGAAATTAATGGTATAAAACAAAATATGTATAAATCATTGGATGAAAAATTATTTGCTCTGTGAACTCTCACCCAAACCACAACTAAAAGAAAAGTCCAATTTACATATGTTTCTTCTTAATATAGTCTAAGTATTATACATAAATCCTGTAAAGAGACATTTTGGAGGTTTGGGGTTTTAAAGGGTTTCCTTGGAGAAATTTTATTAAGGACCTCCCAGGAGAGAAAAATCATCCCACAAGCCTACATAACTGGCTCGCTGGTGCTTTGCTCTCTGCCTGTTCACATGAAAATGGGCTTTTAAAAATTAGAGTGGAAGGGGAAATTCTACAGGAGGTGGGGAAAAGTTGGGGGGAAATGTAGTAACAAGGAAATACCTTTTTTTTCTGCATGTAAGTGTAAAGGGGCACTATGAAACACAAGTATATCACTGCATTATATGTCTTCAGCCCAAGGATATGTGGAGTCACCATCCAACAATAATCATGATTCGCTCCACTCTGTTGCCCATATATGGTATACTTCTCGTGTTTTCAAGATTCAAAGTTGGAGGAAAAGAGAAGTTCACTCTTAATTCTGTGCAGTACTAACATGTTTGTATCTTATGAGTAAAAGGAGCCCTGGAGGCATAAGAAGGTAAGCTGTGGTTGGAGACGGCTAACCACAAGGTGAGCGGTTCAAACTGCTAACCACCAGTCGTTTCGAGGAAGAAAGATGAAGCCATCTGCTCCCACACAGATTTATAGCCTGGGAAACCCGCTGAATGTGTTAGAATTAATGCAATGGGAGTGGGTGAGAGGTTAAAAACCCTGGTGGTACCGTGACTCAATTTTCAGCTGCCACTGAAAAGACTGGCAGGTTGAATTCACTAGCCGGTCTGTTGGGGAAAGATGTGCCCACTGCCTTCCATAAAGATGCATCCACCTAGAACCCTGGAAGGGGGGTGCGGTGGGGGGACAATTCTGCCCTGTTCGGTGGTCACTACTTGTAAGAATTGCCTGATGGGTTTGGTTTGGGTTAAAAAAACAACCATGTTTCCATGATAATAAAAAATTATAAAAATCCCACCGTTTGTTGAGGAGCATCTCATATGGCATTCTCTCTTGCCATCTAATAGTCTATCAGAATGCTATACAGTATTTTGGGAAGCCTAGAATTCAAACTCACATTAATCGTTTTTAATGTCAGACATACATATCATCAACCTGGTGCCCCAAAAATGTGAATGAAACATACTAGCATGAAGCAGGGAACCAATAGAGAGGTCTGAGGGGCCAGCCCCAATCCCAACTATGTGGACAGCCCCCCTCTCCGCAGAAGAATTCACTTCAGAGGACCGGGCTGGAGCTACAACTCAGGGAGAGGGACATGTCTGATCAAAGCACACAGGAGCAAATGAAGGGGGAGGAAGAGATAGTGGAGCACATCCTGGACCACCAAGCCCTAAGGACAATATTCCTGCTCAGAGCAGCCAAAGCACAGGAAAGACCATAAGGCTGGTCCAACTGTCAGACTTGACATCCCTCACTGACCCATAGCACTACGGAGAACAACACTGGAGACACAGGGCAGGTATTGTGCCCAATCTGACCCCACCACAAAGGCGAAACACTAAAGTATACAACAGAACAGCAAGGGGAACAAAGCA